CTAAAGACAAGACAATGGTTAAAAGGGGCGGTTCGGGATCTAAGTAAGAGAGAAGAAAGATGAGTACCTTCTCAGGTGGTCAAATGTCTTGTGCTTTTGGATAGGGAATCAGAGGAGGTAATTTCCGAGGTGGAGAAGTTTCTTCTTGATCATTGTTTGGAGGGAATGAAGAGTCAGTACCAGTGGGTTTGCTTGTTGAAGACCTGGTTCTAATGGTGATTTTCTTAATTTTTTGGGGCCCTTTAGTTTTAGCAGGAGTGGAAACTTTAAACGAGGAAAAAATATGAGAATCTTCACTTTTGTCAAATGACCTTGGTTGATAGATGATTGTGGTGTTTCTTTAGGAATCTGTAAAGACACGGGAAGGTCAGGTGCCAATCAGCAGTAATGCATAAACGTATAGGGAAAAGATGATACTTGGGGTTGCGGAGTAGTGGAATCCTTCGTTCTTTTCTCAGATTTGTTGGAAACTGCCTTCGCAATCGAAAAGCACTTTCTCCCATAAAAATAATGGAAATAGGTTATAGAAAAATCACGGGCAAATGATGTCAAGAAGCTATAAGGAGAAGCGGTCACCTTATTGGGTTTGTCGCCTTCAGCAGGGGCATCAGAGGGTTGTTGCAGGTTTTTAGTCGGGTGGTCCGGAGTTGGATCGACAGAGGAAGTGTTTTCCCACACGTTGAAGGCGTCCATAAACCTTTTAAGGAAAATGAGCACTGAGAAATTTTGTGCTTGATAATCGGACCACCACTAATCAAACTCGTTGGAGTGGAAAAAGGAAGTTGTGAACCTGAAAGTAGGAAGCTCAAGATTTTGGGTAGTTCAATGGAAGTGAAGACATTCCATGTGTTCTTCAGAATCCAATTGTCGACCAGACCAGACGACATTAATATCATGGGATATCAGGGATTTGGGCAACATCTGGCTAAGACCAGACTGTCGAGCCACCAAATTGGGTTGATAATTCATGAAGCCATACCCTTTGGATCCAACATCAATGTGAAAGGACAAAAATGTAGGAGTTAGAAACGCCCGCCACACAACATTTGAGCTAGCAATTGGTCGAGGGCTAACACCAGTAAATGGGTCCTTAAACCAAGTAGAGCATATATTTCTTCGTACAAACGAAGCCATGGCTTCGACAAAGGTAGTAGTTTCAATGAACAAATTGATGTATTTCATAAAAACGCACCTGCTAGAAGTTTCTTGAGGAGTAATCAAAGACATCCTCAACCTCTTGACAGGCCTGTTGTGCACTGAATGATTAGCCGCGTCTGACAAAGGGGAAGCCAATCAATGTTCAAAGGTAGCATTCGGCTAATGCTACAAAAGCCAAAAAGGGCCTGAAAGGGTCGGGCCTGAAAGGGTTTTCAGAGAGATTCTTTAGCTTTGAGGCGGAAACACCTAATCTATTATAAAGGTATTCCAGAAAAAGTTTGTCGAGAGAAATCTTTCGACCCTCATGAATCTGAATGGCCGGAGGAATAAAGACTTTGGCTATCTGTAATGATCCATGGAAGAATAAGTAGTATGAGATCCAAAGAGTGAGGAAAGTGATATGTTCCTCATCATACATGTCTGGTTCATCTGCAACATAATGATCCTTAATATAGTTTCTAAAAATGGCCTGGTTGAAGCAAAATTTAAGTCGTGTCGACAAGGTCGGAACAAAAGTTTCGCCCGTAGGAGAGAGGCCAATAATGGCCACAGCGTCAAAAAGGGTTGGAGTTAACATCCAACAAGGCAAATGAAAAGTGTTGGTTGAACCTTCCTAAAATAAAATCGACACATTAATCATACCAGGATTGATCTTATGAGCATTCCTTGATAACTGGACCTTCCCATATTGATTTATTCTTACCTTGGACCTTGTCGAGCCAGGCAATATAAGTCGATTTTCCCAGAGTGGGAATAGATCGAAAGGCCCTAACAACGGGATTGACAAACTTCATGTCCAAAGAGAAGTCTTGATCAAAAGCAAGGGGTTTAATGGAAGTAAAACAAGGAAAAAGCTTTTGAACTCACTCAGGGGATGTTTTATTGGTTGGATATGGACCATGGAAGGCAAAAAGCTCTCCATAAACGGTGAATGAAATGAGCATTTTCCTATGTCAAACCTCAATAGTGTCTGGGTTAAAAGACGGTGGTTACAGAATGATTTGTAAGCTCGTTGTATCGGTAAGATCAAAATCAAGAGGGTTGTTGCCAGTGTTGGTCGGTGCAAGAGTAGAGGTTGTCAGTGTTGCCATTGTAATGAAGATAGTCAATGAAAAGAATGTTTTTTTTGTTAAAAACAAGTGTAGAAAACAAAGGATTTGTTGAGGGGTCGTAGAAAGCAAAGTGAGAAAAGGAAGAAGGAAGAAAATAGTGGTGGTGTAAACATTTATTTAAAGGAAATCAAACCCTTCAATTACTGATAGATGGCGTTGGATCCAACGATGATAAGACGAAGAAGTGGGAAAGTTAATGGGAGTTGTTTAAAATCCCACACTCTAAAAACTAGGAATCATCATGAGATATTATTGATGGGCATGGGGAACTGTTGCGCAGAAAGTAGTCATGGTTATGCGTGACCTCAAAAGTGTCTGGGTTAGAAGACGGTGGTTGAGGAATGATTGGAAAGCTCGTTATATCGGTAAGATCAAAAGCCAGGGGGGTTGTTGTCAGTGTTGACCGGTGCAAGAGTAGAGGTTTCCAGTGTTGCCATTGTAATGAAGATAGTTAACAAAAAGAACATTTTCTGTTAAAAACGAGTTGTAGGAAACAAAGTGAGCAAAGGAAGAAGGAAGATAATAATGGTGGTGCAAATATCTATTTAAAGAAAATCAAACCCTTCGATTACTGATAGGTGGCATGGGATCCTACGACGATAAGACGAAGAAGTGGGAAAGTTAGTGAGAGTTGTTTAAAATCTCACACCCTGAAAACTAGGAATCATCATGAGATATGATTGATGGGCATGGAGGATCTGTTACACATAAAGTGGTCATGATTATGCGTGACCTCAACAGTGTTTGGATCAGAAGAAGGTGGTTGCAGAATGATTGTTAAGCTCATTGTATCAGTAAGATAAAAAATAAGAGGGTTGTTACTAGTGTTGACCGGTGCAAGAGTAGAGTTTTCCAGTGTTGCCATTGTAATGAAGATAGTCAACGAAAAGAACGTTTTCTGTTAAAAATGAGTTGTAGGAAACAAAAGGTTTGTTGAGGTGTCGTAGAAAACAAAGTGAGCAAAGGAAGAAGGAAGAGAAAAGTGGTGGTGTAAACATCTATTTAAAGGAAATCAAACCCTTCGATGACAGATAGGTGGCATGGGATCCTACGACGATAAGACGAAGAAGTAGGAAAGTTAGTGGAAGTTGTTAAAATCCCACATCCTAAAAACTAGGAATCATTATGAGATATGATTGATGGACATGGGGAACTGTTGCACAGAAAGTGGTCATGATTATGCGTGACGTCATTATGAGAAATTGTGTCGTGGAAAATACCACTAGATGAAAATGCCAAAGCTTTCCATCGACACGGGTCTTTGTCGAACTTGATATTTTGGGGGACAATTTGTTGACAAAGCATTTTCGACAAGGAAATAAGCCCTAAATGAGAAGGTATCTTATAGATGGGAAGGCACATTAAAGGCTTCATAAGAGATGTCAACCGAGTCTAGTCGACGAAGTTGCCACTTGGTGAAGAATGACTCGACGGGCCTATTGAACAACATGGCGAGGCTGTCGACAGACATGCCAAAATGGCGCCAAAAGAAGTTATGAGTTTGCAAGCTAGAAAGAATGTGGGGGAAGTTAAGAAGCTTTTCCACATGAAATCCCAATGTGGGATACTGTAACCGTCGACTGTTACGTCTCTAGATTTTTCTATTTAAGCAAATAATTATATTCGTTCTAGGGTGGCATTACTTAGCATTAAGAGCATTACACTCAAAGTACCCGCATCTAAGAGAGAAACGAGTTCACGCTAGAAAATGTACGAGTGTTACCATATTTCAATTCAAAGCAATTTTCAGTTTTTACTTTAAAATTTGTGTCTTGTTTTTTACTCTTTATTTCAGCAATCGCCTTGTTCTTTTGCCATTTTTTACGCTTGTCAGACTAATCAACCAATTTCACAAAAAAACTCAAAACACTAAGTCTAAGATTCCTGTAGCCGATCTTGCAAGTAACCTTTAATAAGACGTTAGAGATTGTTCGCGAGAAACACATACGTATGAAACCATACGAGCTTCACAGCCACAATTCCTTCCTCGTTTGTATCTCACAGAAGACGATGAACTGCTCATAGGTTTTGAAGAAATCGTTCTGGAATACGACATCAATCTTCCTTAGATGATGATGATTTTGATTTGCGGGATGAAATCTTCAATTCAGACTGCAAAGAAAAATGGAGAAGACGAAGAGGAATTAGGAAAAAAAATAACAAAGGTGAATAAAGTAAGCATCTGATACTAAAAGGGAAGATTAATATATGATCAAAAGGAAAGATTATTGACTTGTAATTAGAATACATATGTGGAAATTAATACATGACCATTCAAATTGAAAAAATGTCAACTCATCGTCCACGTCAGCGTCTGTTAAATAGAATTGACGGCATAAATGAAAAATAGAGACGGAAAACTTTACAACAATTTTTTGAACAAAAATATTTCAAAAACTAAAACCAAATTTTGATATATTTCCATGAACATGTAACCTATATTTAAATATCATTCTCTTTTTATTTATTTATTTTAAAATTTTAATCAATCCAAAGACTAAAATGGTCAAATAAAAAAAATTCAACTATATATTGTGTTATTGTATTTATTTGACAATTCAACGTAACGTATTAATGCTAGGTGGGACCAGTTGAGTGAAAGACAGCAATAACAGAACATTCTTCTCTCTTGTCTCTGAAGCATCCAAAGCCATCTCATTGTTATTCTTAACCCAATCTTAAATCCTATAAATAAGAGTAACAATTTCATGTCTCTAAAATCAAAACTCCATGGAAGACCAAACCAAAGAAAGTAGAAAGAGTTGTTTCAGAAAGCTTCTCATGGGAAGAAACAAGAGTAGAAGAATGCTGTGGTTAAAGAAAATGAAGAAGCAAATTTGGAGTTGGAGATTCTCTGCGTTTAAGTGGAAACGACTGGATAATCTTCAAACTACATTCATGGATACTGTCGTTTATAGGATACTGTCTGTCGCTGAGGCTGTTGTTCTTGTTTCCACTGTTTGCTTCTTCTTTCTTTGTTGTGGCTGTCATTTCTGACTTTTTTTTTTTTGTTTTGTTGAATTAGTTTTATTGTATTTATTTTTTATATTCATTTATTCATTTTTTTTTACAAGTTTAATAACTTGTTTTTATATTTTATTTGGTGAATTGATTTTGTGGCTACACTTTCTCATCATATTTTAGTTCTTGCATTGTTGTATAATTGGATTTTAGTTAAGTTTTTACCATTCTACATGAGCTAACATACATATCATAAAAATACCCTGCACACTTAAAACAATCATATAAATGCATGGCTACCTAATTTAATTCTTCTTTCAAAATATTTTATAGAAAATATAAATCAAAACCAATAAATTATATTATAAATTTAATCCATTAAATTTATAATCATTTAAATGGACATTTTCAAATTAAAGAAACTAACTATTATATTATAAGTTTGAAAATTGAATTGACCAGATTTTACTATTTCAATAATTAAAATACATAATTTTGTCATATTAATCTAACTAAGTTGGTAGGTGCAAGTCGACGCATGTTATAATCCACGACATCTAACTTATTCTCCTTAAAAAACAAAAATTATGACCATTAAATTATTAGTCCAAAAATAAATAAAAATATTCTTATTTTATCTTGGATAATTTTTTCTCTCAAAAGTTTCTATAGTTAATTTTCTCCTATTTATTATGAAATTAATGAGAAATAATATAATAAAAGAATAGAGACGAATTACAGAAAGAGAAGAGAGAAATAATTATTTTCATTATTAATATAGATTTGAAATATAATATGAGTCATATTTATAGGACATATGTAATAAATAGAAAATCAATATTTAAAATCTTATTAGAAAAAATTCAATGGGTGAAGAAAAAAGAGTAAACAAAATTTGTGAGGGAACTACCTCGTTATTTATCAATATAGATTATTACAAATAAATTTTTTTTATAGAGAGACAATCATCCATTATTAAATAGTCTCCCTTGGATGTTTGTTCAGGATGTGCCTCATTAAAACCTTAGTAGAAAAAATTCAATGGAAAAAAATCTAGTAAATGAAAAAGAGTACAATATCCCGAACGAATTTATTGCTCCCTCTCATCTGAACGATCATTTCTTTGATGATAAAGACCAATCTTTTACACTAAATGGTCTGCAAGGTGAACACATTTTTTGGAGTTTATATCACCACTTTTCTGAAGATCATGAGTGAAAAAGAACTTTGAAGGATTGTGTTTTGTTCAATCTCCTTTAATATAACTATCTTTCAATTGAGCAATGCATATAGTATTATCTTCATATATGGTTGTTGTATTTCTTTCTAGAAGTTAAACCACTAGTCTTTTGTGGGTGTTGAATTTGGGATCTCAATCAAACGCATTTTCGACCTGTCTCATGTAGTGCTAAAAATTTCTTCATAATTAAATAACGTTGTTGCTATGATTAGTTTCACAGGTCTCTATGAAATAGTTGTACCATCATAAGTAAACAAATAATCTCTGTGATGTACCATTATGAGGATGTGACAAGTAACTCATTTTTGCATTATTTGTTAATTATAATTTGGATATTTTGGAATAAAACAAACACATTTCCATTTATACTTAAGATAGCGAAGTATATGTTGGACTCTGTTCAAATGTCTTCCTGTAGGTGAAGAACAATATCTTACTAGTAGAGTTATAAAAATTAACATAGCATGGTATGCATAATTAGCAAAATAGATTAGTACTTTAATTACACTAGGATATGAAACTTCGGGACCAACTAATTTTTTATCATCTTCTCGAGGTCTAAAAGAATCGTTTGTACATCCCATGATCCAACATCATATAGGTAGACAACATACTGGATTTGTCCATATAGGAACATTTTAATATTTTTGATATATATGTGATTTACTCATATAGAAATGTTTTAATATTTTTTTAATATAATCTTCTTGGTGAATAAAATTTCCATTGTTTAAACGTTCATTTACTAAGGGCTTTTTCTTTTCCAAGTCCTTCATTTCAAATAATTTCTTTTAAAATTTTTATAACTTTTGGAATCTCTTCAAGAGTTCCAATAATTTTATGTCATCTACATAGATATCTATTATAAGAAATTATTTTTTAGAACTTTTCATAAATATAAAAGAACTTATGGACTTATTTGTATATCTCTCCCTTAGTAAATATTCATTGAGACAATTATATCACTTGTGTCCATATTGTTTTAACACAGAGATACTTATTCAATTTTATGTCCTTATCAAGTGTATCATACATATAAGATATTACAACATCCATCATGTTTAAATAAAGCCCTTCACGTACTACAAGATTAATTAATTATCAAAAATTAATTGAATCTATTACAGATGGATATGTTTCATCAAACTCGATCTTATGTCTTTCTGAAAATCATTAAGCAACAAATCAGGTTTTATACCATTTTTCTCTCTCACAAAAACTCATTTGTATCTCTTTGATTTCACACCTTGAGGTATTCAGACTACATGTCTTGAAATGATTCACTTTTAAAGTGAGTTTAATTATCAAACAATTGAATCTGTTTATTTTGGTCAATTCTCACTTTGTCTATAATCTTGGATAAACCTTGATTCATGATCTGTCTATTTTGACCAATTCTCACTTTGTCTACAATCTTTGATATACTTTGTTTCATGATTCACATTATCGTTTTTCATCTTTAGCACTATATTGTATACAAATAAATTGTCAATGCCGACTTTATTTGGTTATCTTAATTTTAGTTCCATTTTATTTCATCCATGACATAATTTATTGAGATCTCTTTATTTCATATTTCAAGTACTTTATTGGCTCTTTTGGAACTGAAAAATAAATTATGTCAAAGTGCTCTTAGAATTTTCATATCCTCACTTGGGTCATCTTTAACTTTAGTTTCTTTTCTTTGTAGATAACTTTTAACATTGGAACCGACTTTTCTACTATGCTTCAGATGCGATTATAACTCATTTACAATATTAGGTTATTCAATACGAGAATCCACTTTAAGAGGGGTATTAGTAGCTAATAATTGTTTTTCATAAACTTTGCAAATGAATTCTACGTTGAACTTCGAGGATCAAAATGATATGATAATATTTTATTTCAAAGTGTTCATTTGAACTTTTTTATCAAACTTTTAGTTGCTGATTCTCTTCCCCTAATATTGAGAAAATTAGTTTATCAATTGATAATCAGCCTATTAGGCTTCAAAGAAGTATTCAATTATTGGATCAAGATACATATTCAAATACAAGACTCATCAATGTCATCACGTGTCAAACACAACACCCACTATATCACCTCAGTGACGATCTCTCAACTAATCTCAACAACATAGAAGTCAACTATGCTACTCACGTCGACGATTTCTCAGAACGACACAACCAACACAGAGGCATTAATCACAGACATCCAAGTGAATAATAGCACTAAATATATCTCTAGATTATAGACACTATTAGACAATCATCCTAGATAAGAATTCGAGTAGTATATGTCTATAGCAACCCAAACTCCTAACACAGGGTAAAAATGTAAGACAATAATCGACAAAGATTCGTAAAGCAAGTTTTATATAACGTCGTGGGCGACAAATATACATGAGTTCAAAGTAAAGATACAAACAAAACCCAACAAAAGATAAATACATATAGAGGAGAAGAGATAAACCACAAATCTTCTAGTTTGTCAACGCCGGTCGATGAGAAATCCACCTCCAATCATCCATAAAAAAAGCCTTAGTGTTGTTTTCTAAGCTAAGCCTAAGGAAAAATGAGGCTGATGAAGTTGAGAGAACAAAAATCACCCCCCAAAACCATAACCCTCCAAAAAGAAATGAAAAGGAAATATAAACAAAATGTGATCTGCACGCGTCGCCCGGCTCTCCTAAAGCATTGCCTAGAGACGATCCTTATTTACAAGGCCCAGCCCGCACCATGCAGGCAAGTGTGGAAAAATATCCTCTCTCGCCAGACGAAGGGAAAACATCATCCAACGCAACTTCTTTTCCTCGCCCAGTGACACAGAAGCGAAGCAAAGCAGAAGCAACTGGAAATTTGATCAAACCTCTTGCGCCTCCGTCGCCTGGTGACGTAGACGTGATGCTCCTTGCCTAAGCATCACCTGGCGCTACACACTAGAATAACAATTTTTGTTGCTTTCTCTGTACAACTTCAAATGACTTCCTTTTTTGCCTTATTTCTTTATTGATCAATTGCACATCTTGGAGCTCCAATTGGATTTTATTCTCAATGCTCCAGTGATGCCGGAATTCCTACAAAATGAATGGAAAAATAGTCAACAATACCATTTGTACACAAAAACACTAATATATACAAACTAAGCCAATTTACCAACAAAGCAGGGAATTATTCACAAAATATTAACAAAAAAATTGATAAGTGCAACAAAAAGTATATACAAAAATAACTACAATTTGCACTTATCAAACTCTCCCCATCTTGAACTTATTTTTCCTCAAACAAGGCCAAACAAACTTAAAGAAGCAAAAGTAATCAACCAAAGAATCATGAATCAACAAGTTTGAAAAACGAAAACAAATGTATGATTCAAACAAAAATGTACACGCAAGGTAAAACATACCACAATCCTACAACGACAACATGTAAAAGAAATAATTTCTAAGTAAAAAATCATACTGAATATTCTAAAACAAAACAAGCTCAATCATGAATCATACCTAGTAAAAATTCATCGGTACATGAAAAACACACAAAAATGAGGAAAAAAACACTCATCCACAATCTTGCAAACAATAGACTAAATTATGCATTTATTCAAAAATTCACATTGAACATATAGAGGCAAGAATCACAAGGGTTTTTCAAGGTTGTAATGTGGCTTGGTTAACAAACAAGGGATAATTCCTAAAGCTAGTCGAAACAAAAACTTGCCTAAACCTAAGGAAGTGATCAACTCACAAAAGTTCAAACACAAAATTTTAATCAAAATTTCTTCCAAAGCCCAAATTTTACAAACCAATAAAAACACTTAT